TCAAAAAATGTAATCACAAAAAACATAAGTATTTGTGACAAAATTCATTAAAATTGTCACTAATGTAATAGTGACGGAGTTATTAGTGAAGAAAAGTGACAACTCAAAATTTTTATCACTATGATGTTCAATAGCTAAATTTGATATTTTTAGTGATCATTCTTAGTATCACTAAAAATACAATTTCTTGTAATAATTTTACATCATTCTTAATTAAAAGTTCAGAAGAAGACGTCAATCAAAGAAATTAATGAAGAAAGCAAAATAAGGTTATATTAAATAAATGGAAGAACATGAGAAGACAAAAATTAAAATCCACTAAGAGTGGGTTGAAAATGGTGTGAAATATTAAATTAAATTTTCCTTCAATATGATTTCGATATGGTGCTTAAGATGTGTCAATACCAACAGATTTTTGAAACCCGTCGTTATAGTTATACTAACAGGTTTCCATAATCCGTCACCAATAACGAAAGTGTGCGCTTAAGCTATATCAATACCGACGGATTTAAAAATATGTCATTAAATTACACCAAAACACTTCTAAATCCATCAATTAGATATAAGGTATACTGACGGATACACCATTTGATAGTACAAACTACTAATCGACGGCAAATTTGTTCTTGTAGAGCAGTGGGGGGAAATTCCTAATATAAGGTTTCCGTCATATTATTTCTTGATCTAGGGTTATTGTTACAGTGTCGAGGGAGGACACCATAAACACCATGTGACTTCAATTTTTCGATGGAAGACATATGAATTACCATGCGTCTTCAGCTTTTCCAAAAAGTATCCATAGAAATACAGAAAAAAGAAAAATAATAGGTGATAGAAAAAACACGTTGTGGTCCATGCGTCTTCCCAAAAAATTAAAGACTCGTAGTATTCTCGTTGTCCTCCTCTTAATACTATAATAATAACCATATATGAAGAATTTTTTTTGCACTACTCCACATTAGCAAATTTCCCACTAATCAATAGAGCATCGGTACATCATGGTTATAGTGACGAAATCTTTTACGCCACTATATAAGTATTGCCACCTTTTTGTTTTATTATTGATATCCATATTTTCTGTTATTTTTCTATTTTGTTAACGAAGACACCTTTAAATATTTTAATATAATCACTGATATTTACTAATCAAAATTAAGAGAAGTTAAATTATTTCATATCAGATAAATAATGATTTGAATCTTTAATTGTACTTGAAGGATTTATGGAATGAATCCATTTATGAATAAACAACTATAAATCCCCAATCCCTAACCTGAGAAATGTTATACACATATATACGGAAAGTCAAGACGTGGCAGAAAATCAAGCCGAGAAAGCATGAGGGAAAAAGGCAGCGACAGCTAAAATTGTAGTGCCTTCGGACATGGATACCATAATCCTCTCCTTTTCAATTAGTATATGCAAAATTGTATAGACGCTGACGTAAATTTCCATATTATGATCCACGATTTGCCAAAAAAATAAGATAAAAAAACAAAAGAGGAGCACGGTTAATCCCCCATTTCTTAATATAACTTTCCCTTCAATTATTATCAAGCATGGAAAAAAGACGAGAGATGGAACAGAATTTCCATTGGCTCTGTATGTGGAGGGGAGCCTGACCATTGAGCTAAAGATCTGATAAACATTAAATTAAGGACATGATTGCATTATGGATTTCCCCAACCCAGAAACAACCCCTCCTTATAGACCACGTTTCCTTTTGCCATTAGACATTAATATTATTATCTCTTTAATTAATGGCCACTGGTTTACCTACTTTAACCTGTTCCCTGCTGCATTGTTCAAGGAATTGACTTTAGGGTTCCTTTTGCTCTGATGGACTGGAAGCCATGCAGGGCAGATGAGTTGTTTAGGGAGGGGACCCCACTAAAGGGGTTATTGCTGACGTGGACAAAGTTTGGTTGCTTCAAGTTTCGTGTCAATGTATTTTGCCAAGCCCGAGACACAATAACAGAACAACTGAAAGCTACTTTAAATTTTCATTTTTTTTTGTTCAAGTGATGATGCTGACAAGCATTTGTGTCATGCAAGTGCCCAGGTGTTGCAAGAAATCTCAATGACTTGACCTCTTTCATGCAAGTGGGGTTGAAGGCTTGAAGGTCTTTGCTTTTGCCTCCTTATATATACGGGAGATTTCCGCTTCTTTTTCTCACATTATAAGTGTTTTTGTTTTCTTTTCCTTGCCAAGGCTAGCTTGCTTTCTTTAAATCTCTGAGGTGGTAATACGTTAAGAGAATTAAAGAAACAATGTTGGATGATTTCATGCCTTTAGTGGCCAATGTTCTACTGCAAGTAGGGTATGCGGGCATGAACATCACGTCAAAGCTGGCCTTGGAATCTGGAATGAAACCCCTTGTTCTCGTTGCTTACCGCCAAATCTTTGCCACCATCGCCATTGCTCCTTTGGCCTTCTTCTTGGAGCGGTAAATTGTGTCTTAACTTATCCATCAAGAATCCCTCTTTTTTTCTCGTTCCATTCTTTGCTTCTGAGTTATGGGTTTTATCTGTTCTTTCTTGCACATTTCATGCTGAGGCTTTAATTTCTTGAAGAAGGGTTCGGTTTTGATTTTCGATTTTAACTAGTTAGATCAAGGTTTCTTGAAGTTTTCTCTCAAAGACACCGATGTAACGGAATGCAGTGGTGGGGCTGTTTGTTTGTTTGGTTTCTAAGAAACATCGGGAAAAAGAGAATAATATAAAGGATGTCGGGGGAAAAAAGGCTCTAATATCTTAAGCCGTATGGTTTAAGTAACACAGGGAGCTGGGTTAATCGATTGCTTAAAGTAGATTCTTTGATTTCTAAGTTGCTACTGGTTTGAAAAAAAGTATATTTTACTCCATGCATGGCTGCCGAGTCATTTAGTCTTGTTGGCTTTGCCTTTTTCTCTAATATTGTAACGTTGCAGTCATTTTGTGATTGTTGTGGGGAATTAACCATGATTTTATGCAGAAAAACAAGACCCAAGATCACTATGCCTATTCTTTTCCAGATTTTCTTATGTTCAATGACAGGGTAAGTCTACTGTTTTGTGTTCTCTTTTGCATGTTATTAGGCAAATGGCTAACTTCAAATCGAACATGGATCCGTCGATGCAGGGCGACGGCGAACCAGGTTTTTTATTTCGTCGGATTGAACTATACTACCGCAACGGTTGCATGTGCATTGAACAATGTACTTCCGGCAGCCACCTTTGTCCTGGCTGCTATTTTCAGGTCCCAATTGCCTTTATGGCTTCTGCAGTTAAATGTATTAAGGGTAGACCTGACAAACTTGACCCTTAACCCGAACCCGATTACCCTACTGATTTATCTGAATCGAGATCAAAATAGACCTGAATATGATGATTCAAATTTGACTCAAAAACCGAATCGAACCGAAATCGACCTGAATTTTAGCCGAACAAAAATAATCCGAACCGAAAAACACTCATTATTTACAAAATATATATCAATAATTCTATACAAACCTGATTTAACTTGTATCAAAATCAGGTTGAATTGACTTGAAGATCCAAAGTTGACCGAAACCGAAAATAATTGATCGGGTATTGATCCTACCCAAAAAACAACCGATCCGATTTGATCCGACTCGAAATCAACCAATCTGATATTGACCTGATCTGATATCCAAACGACCCGACCTACTATAGACCTGAATAAATTCGAAACCCAACCCAACTTACTATAGACCAGAATAAAATCGAAACTCAAAATGATCCTATCCGACCGGAACCTGATCCAATTAGTTAACCAAAATGACCGAAACCAAATTCGATCGGAACAAGCGGTTTGCTACTGTGTTTTATCAATTGCTTTTGGCCGTGCAAATGCACTTTTTTGACAGCAAAAGCAATAGTAAACAGAGGGCTTTTGCCACCCGGAAACATCTTTTTCGAAAGTCTTTTAGGATCCAAACCAAGAAGCTGCTTCTGCTGCTAACTGCTTTTCAGAAAGCATTTTCCCTCATCAGCAGGCCGTGGATGTGCTATTTCTTTTTTACTTTCCTCTGATAAATTGCTGAATTTGATGTTTTACTAGACAAGAAGCCATGGGAATAAAGAAGGCATCAGGGGTGGCCAAGGTATTAGGTACTCTAATATGTGTTGGTGGAGCCATGCTGCTTTCTTTTTACCACGGACACATCGTCGGCATGGGTGAATCAAAGGTCCACTGGAACTATGCCGATAGAATGTCGAGCAACGACAGCTCTGGCGGCACAACCGGATCGAACTCATTCCTCGGTCCCTTCCTTGTCATGGCCAGCGCTGTCGCTTGGGCCATATGGTTTATAATCCAGGTAAAGCCAGACACCCATATGGTTCAACGAAATTTCTTCATTCAAATACAATAATCATAGGTTTAACAAAATTTTCAGGGACAAACAAGCAAGAACTTCCCAGCTCCCTACACGTGCACCACTATAATGTGCTTCATGGCCAGCATCGAGTGTACAATCATCGGCATATTTTCGGAACACAAACCATCAGCTTGGTCATTGAGCTCCCCCATGAGGCTTATTGCATCTCTTTATGCGGTAAGCGATCGGACTCGGATCGGACACATGTATATACATGCATTATTTGCTAATTGAGCAGGCACAGACGATATGTTTTCTTCTGGTTTGTATCTTTCCAGGGAATCATATGCAATGCGGTAGCGTTTTGTGTCATGTCATGGTGCATACAGAAAAGGGGTCCTCTCTATGTATCGGTGTTCAGCCCTTTGTTGCTCGTCATCGTGGCTATTCTGAGCTGGGCCCTCCTTCGTGAGAAATTATACGTTGGCACGTACGTTTTCGAACGCACTTATTAAACTTTTTATTAATCTTAATCAAGTTTGATTAATCTGCTATGATGGAACAGTGTTGCAGGGTCATTCTTGATCGTCGGTGGACTGTACGCTGTCCTGTGGGGAAAAGATAAAGAGGTGAAACAGATCAAGGGCGGTGAAAGAGGAGAAGGGAAAGTTGAAGCCACAAAAGCTGGTGGCGTAGACAATGATGACCTGGAGCTGCAGTTGCAGCCGCCGCTGAAAGGAAGCCAGCTCGGTGGTTGAGTAGGTGGTTGGCTGGAATCGGAATGTGAACTATCTATGAATGTAAAAACTGCAGACTCGGCAGGGTTTTAAGTGGTTTATTTCTCAACTTTTTGGATGCAGTTAAAGACTTATTATGTCTAGCTATTAATAATCTTTTTGCTTTGAAATAAAGCTATTAATGATCTATATTTAAGCTTCTCAAAAAGCTAATGAGTTAACTTTAATTTCTTAGGGAGGAAAATAGATAAAATTATCTTAAATTATATTCACCCCTAAGATTTTGTATTAATTAATACTATTATTAGTATCCGTACTTTGACCAAATTTGGTTTGTTTAAATAACAAAAGAAAATTGTTCAAATATATATATATATATATATTTGAAAAAAGAACATGCTTAAAAATATTTTTAAATTCAATTATAAAAATTGAAAATTTTATTTTTAAAATTTATTTGTTATACTATGTGTGATTATGTTATAATATATTTTTAATTTTCAATATCATATATAAATAAATAATTTAACTTCTTAAAAACACATTTTAACATTAATATTAAGCTATCACCAAATCTTCAAAAACATTGTAAGATTAGTACTAGTTTTTATTTGTATTTTGAGGTTAAGATAAGATATCGAAAGGACAGCGTTTGAATCTAATCTAAGGGCGTCGCAACCTTTAAGGAAAAAACCTAATCTGAAATCACCCCCGCCTCCAATTGCGTAATAAATAGCCGCAAGGCCTACAATTTTTTGAACGTTATTTGCTTTCCAGATTTTGTTTCTCCATACGTTTGTTTCTTCTTCCTGCAGTGGGCAGCCTGCGGTTGCTCGCCAATGTATGGATCTTATCACTGTTTTGTCATTTCTAGTATCTTGTTTCTGTGTTCCGATTTCCTTTGATTCTGTTTTAGATTTATATGTATAAATAAAAGGCCCGTGCTTTTATTTGTGTTGATGGGTCTTTCGCTATTTGTTGCAAGATCTGGATCTGGATATGGGTTTTCTTTGTTCTGTTTATATTTCCACTTGGATCTTTCTTAATATGCTGCTACTAATATTAGCTTCCATTTTGAAGCTATTCTTCTTGTTTGTATTTTGATATGCTCATTCCATTCATTATGATACTACATTGTAGCTTATTTAGGTCTGTTTGTTTAGATTGACATTGCGTTTACAAGTTATTTCGCTAAAAAAAATTGCTTTCAACTTTATTCATCTCTTCCACTTTGTGCAATGATATGCATTTCTAAGATGGAAAAATGGGGTTTTATTTTGTTATCCGTAACTTTATTAATGTGATATTTCTTCCTTTTTCGATAACAATGATTAGATTAATAAATTACGATTACCTTATCATGTATTTTGATTGCCAGCTAAGATAAAAAAAAAGGATGGGACTGTCTTTTGCTAAGTTGTTCAGTCGGCTTTTCGCCAAGAAAGAGATGCGAATTCTTATGGTGGGTCTTGATGCTGCTGGTAAGACTACCATCTTGTACAAGCTCAAGCTCGGTGAGATTGTCACTACCATTCCCACAATTGGTATGTCCCGTTGTTATTTTTTGGGCTCTCTTTATAAATTTTTAATAATTTGATATTTAATATTGATGCTTATGGCTACCTTGTGCAGGGTTTAATGTGGAGACTGTAGAATATAAGAACATTAGCTTCACTGTTTGGGATGTTGGTGGTCAGGACAAGGTAATACGGCATATATTCAGACTTTTACCATTATTCTGTTTTTCCTGGACCTATCCGAGTTTGTGGCTACACATGAAAGTCGTCCTCTTTCATCTTGTATTTTCCTTGTTAGTAATGTGCTTATGGACGGTCCTGTGCTGATTTGGTTGTTCTCCATCAGCACATAACATATTCAGAAGCTACATATATGTCCACATTATGTTTTTTGTTCTCTTCTTCACTGAATGAGGAAGACTGTTCATTCTGTGGCAAATATTACATACCTATTTACCTTTATGCCTTCCTGTGCTCATAACAGTTTTGGTTTGTGGTCGTTGATATGTTTACACTCATCATCATGTATGTTCCTTGTTATTAATGTACTTATGGACGGTCTTGTGCTGATTAGATTGTTTCCCGTCACCACATAACATATTCATAAGCTGCATGCGTGGCTATATTATGTTTTTTGTTTTGCCATTCAGTGAATGAGGAAGACTATTCATTCAGTGGTAAAAATTACATACCTATTAACCTTTATGCCCGTTATGTTTTTTTTCTTTCATAGTGTTCATTAGTGGTCATTGATATTCTTACGCTCTTCATCTTGTATGTTCCTTGTTATTAATGTGCTTATGGACGGTCCTGTGCTGATTAGATTGTTCTCCGTCAGCACATAACATATTCATAAGCTACATGTATGGCCATATTATGTTTTTGTCTTTCTTCACTGAATGAGGAAGACTATCCATTCTGTGGCAAAAATTTTTCCTATTTACCTTTGTATGTTTACATAGCAGTTTTGTTGGTTGTCAGTGATATGCTTACAACATGATTTTTAAAAATATCACATCATTCAATTAAAATGGTCACTTGTAAGGTCTTGCAACGGTTTGTCAATTTCATCCCTTTACAGTTACCTGATGTGTGGACCCTGTATCCCTTCAATTTTTATTTTAATTTAGTTATCGATATATAGGTCTGCAACAAGCATTTATTTATTATTACCAATTAATGGTTGTTTTCGCAGTAGTTTACTATACTTTTATTTGAATGAATGTTTAAATGTAGGGAGTTTGCAAGCATGCAATGAACTGAAAGCTTTATTGTGCACTTTCAGATTCGACCTTTGTGGAGGCACTACTTCCAAAATACTCAGGGGCTAATCTTTGTTGTCGATAGCAATGATCGTGACCGTGTGGTTGAGGCCAGGGATGAGCTTTATCGTATGCTGAATGAGGTACTGATTTGCTCTATGCTTGTTGCTGAGTTGTATTTGTACCTAGTAACTCATTGTTTGACACGGATACCTTTGATGGCCAACCTAATTCAAGTTGGGCATTGGTTTTGTTGGTTGCGGTTTCTTCAATATACTGGGATTTTAAGTGAATGAAATTATGAGGCTGTAGTTTATGTTGGCTGTTTTGTTATTTTATACACTTGCAATTACGTTTTCAATCATTATGGTACCTGTCATATGTGTAGGATGAGCTGAGGGATGCTGTGCTGCTTGTATTTGCTAACAAGCAAGATCTACCAAACGCTATGAATGCGGCTGAGATTACTGATAAGCTTGGTCTCCACTCCCTCCGTCAGCGCCACTGGTAGCTTATCATCGACTGTTTGTTTATCCACGCAACTTGTTAGGTCATATTCGTAATCATTCATTCATGTGCTTCTCTTACAGGTATATCCAGAGTACATGTGCAACCTCTGGCGAAGGGCTGTATGAGGGACTCGACTGGCTCTCCAACAACATAGCTAACAAGGTAGGATGAGGCTCACAAATGTCGATCCATTTTGGATATTGATCTCTTGTAACTTATTTCGTTCTATCATATTTCATAAAATTGAGGATCGCTTGAATGTTGAGCCATCTCTCAGGCAGACACGATGTTATTTTCTGTTTCCTCGAAGAATGTCTCCTATTGTGTTATATTTTCCCCTTAACTGGAAACTAGGCATTTGGCCTGCCTTGTAGACTGATTTCTCATGTAATCAAAACCTATGTTTACTATACTCGACTACCAATGAAGTATTCCATTTCATAGCATGATCAATTGGTACAAGCTATTAGAATCATAGCATGAATCATATTACAATCTATTCACAAAAATGTACATAAATATTTCTTTATATCAACTTACAAAACGTTCACAAAATAAAACCAAAGGAAACAAGGTTCCTGCTATTAGAATCTGTCAATTTCAAAAAATGAAGGACAGAAAACGCAACTATTAGGTCAAAACCTCTCTTTTTTCTTTTTCCTCAATTTTCGTAACACACATTTACAACTGCTTTAACTTAGATATACTCGGCTACACATATAGCCACTGAAGGTCACAAAGTTTATGCAGCAGACGGGGCATTAACATAGTGAACATAGCCAGTCTCTGCCAAGGCTGCCAACAACTCTAGGGCTACTCGTTCGTCGTCATCGGCATCAACAACATTTGCATAGTCGAGCGATTTATCATTGTAAATGTTCCACCATTTGGCCACCAGCTTCTTAATATCTTCCCTGTCCATGTTTTCTTCCTTTCCAGTAAACCTCCATGGCTTGGACCCAGCAGCACAGTAGTGAACCACCTTGGCTTTTTCTGGATCAATGTTCTCGGGGTGACGCCACAGCATGGCCATCACCAGGTTGTAAATCGTTGGGATGGGCCTGTAAATGTCCCTAAAGAACATGTTCAGATAATCCTGCAATAACCAAAAAAAAGGATATCAGAATCCAGAAATCATTTCGAGATCAAATATGAAATTAATGAAAAAAGAAACTTGAATAATTCCTTACCTGTTCAGCAAAAGGTGTAGGGGGAGTAACTTGGAGAGTAGCCAAGAGGTCATTATAGACAGTAAGACTGGGTTCATAAACAAACATTCCTGCGTTGAAGTAAAGGGGTGGTTTAGGACCCAAATGAGCAGGCCACTGCACCTTGTTAGGACACTGCTGGCAATACCCAATCTTGTACTGTGGGGTATGGCTCCATGTTTTCTCACAGAAACAATCCATCACAGCATAAAAGTAACCATCCTCCAGGTCGAACAAGTGATCTATGTGATCAAAGACCTGAATGTCTCCGTCCAAATATATCATCTTCGAATAGTCCACGAACTGCAATAAAAAATACATATAAGGTCCAACAAAAACATGAAACAAGAGTTACGTTCAACACAAGCAACGTGCAAAAGAACGTATGTTTATACCTTCCAGATACGTAGCTTGGAATAGTTGATGACGTAGTAGGCCATGGCGAACTGGGTCTGGTTCTCAGGTGGATACACGGGTTCGATCTCCTTGACTATGCAACCCTGATCCAGCAGGATCTTCCTGTGGTCTTCCGGCACGTCCGGCAAGACCGCCACGACGAGTGGATACTTGCTCTTAACTTTCCTTAGGCCCTTGGCTAATCCCACCACACCCTTGACGTAGTCTCCGTTCCCTGCCAAGAACGTAATGTAAGCCCTCTTGGGAGTGGAGGGAGCCCTGACCTGAATCGGGACCTTGGAGGTCACAGTGGCAGCTTTGCTACTGATGAAATTTGGTGACATGTTTGAAACTGATGAAACTGTGTTTGGTTGTAAGGAAAATGAGTAAAGTATATATTGTAAGAGAAATTTTGATCGTGTTGAGTGAAGTTATTGGGGATCAAGGAGGTGTTTATATAGGAATTGGGATTCATCTTTATTGGTAAGTTTCTTTATTACTTTTGATTTTTTTTAAAGGAGAAGGATTAATTGAATATTCCAGTCCAAGAAAAGGTTACATCAAAATTATATATTAATTTACAGCTTAACTACCCTAACCCCAGAACAGCTGTCAACATCACCGAGAAACTGGGGCTACTATCCACCGACCAGGGATCACTGCCCTACATAAATTAAATGTTAAATTATTTTTGTTGTTTTAAATTGTCAATATTGCTTATTATTTATATACAAATATGATTCAAAATTTTAAATTATTTTTATATTTATAAACTTAAATATTTGATTCAAATTTCATAATCTAAAATTATACCTTTTTTTAGGCGAGATTATAGTAAGGTGATGATTCTCTAATATAATACAGGGCATTAAAGAGCCATAATTTCATGAAAATTAAAGCTAACAGCCAACAACGGGGAAACCCCACACGAAAGCCCCATGCAAACGATACACGTGGACTCCATCAACACGCGTGTCGGTACCGTTCAACGTGGAAAATATTTGGTGGATCTGGGTATGGTGGGGTCCACTGCAGCTTCGCCACGTAATCGGTCCAGGAATCCAGATGGCAATATTAGAGGCGTTCGGTTTGATTTTGTAGTGGCAAGTGGGAGGAGGAACATGGTGATGTAGGTGGGGTCCACTTGCGTGTCGACCGTGCCGGGGATGATCGGGTGCCATGCGTCGGCAAGAACTTGAAACTTCGGTGGGTCGCCACGTGGTGAAGCGAGTGATGCTTGCCTGAACCAACGGTCCAATCGGAGCTGTTGGATTCCATGGCCCTCGATTAATTTCGTAAATCATTTTAGTTAAGTTAGTTACTCCAAACCAAGCATACAATTACACCGAGATAGTGAAATGATTTTGGTCCAACCGACCAATCTTTTTCACTTGACGCTTGACTCCAATCGTTTTGTTTTACGTCCGGATTCAGAAACGGAATATACCCATAAGATCCTATTAATAAATTGATTAATTTCACATTTATAAAGAGGGAAATATTAAAGGATAGATGGAACTAGAAGGGTGAAGGTGGCTTCTCAGACTTTTGCATTAAGCTTATAGCCACTAATTAGGGACCATATTGGCATTGATTAAAGAATATAGAGCAGTCAATTTGTCGTTAGTTATTTGGTGGGCTAAATGTGAATAATTCTTCCCTAGTTGGGATGGCAATTAGAGATGATAAATTGATTTATATTCTATAAGTTTTTATTTAATTTGATTTAGTAACATAAAGTATTTTTTAATTAATTAAATTTATGTAAAGTCAAGTCTTGCAAAGGGTAATATTAAATCGGGTTTGAATTTAGAATAAATATTTTTCAATAGACTCAGCCTAGAATGATAATATTTTTTTCTTCGTTATATTTAAAGATAATTATCGTAAGATTAATTTCTTTATAATTTTTTAATTAGGTTATTATTTTATTAAATAAAAATAATTTTTAATATTCATATCAAATCGTATCAAAATATAATTTTTTATTTTAAAATTCAAATTAAATTTTGAGTTCGAGCTCTCTCTAACCTCGTGTTTAGATGTAGATGGTACATGTTTTTTTATTGAATTGGACTGCCTAAAAACTTTACTGGCCTAACTCGTTACCATCCCCAATAATAACAGTGCAAAGAGTTTTCAATCAATACGGGTCTAATTCAATGTTATAACAATATAATTTGATTTCCTTTTAAATTTAAAAATATATATTTTTAATTTTGATCTGATCCTGTCCTTTAAAGTTGACTGGAACATTAAATCATATTCTTAGTCTGATAATTTTTTTTTTTTTTGAATTTTGATCTGATCCTATCCTTTAAACTTTACTGGAACATCAAATCCTATCCTTATTCTGATATATTTTTTTTAATTTTGATCTGATCCGTAATATAAATTTTATAAATCAAATAAGATTTCTTTTAACAAATTGTTAGATAAACCATGGTAGGATTTGATATGGCTGTGTCAACTACTGTTTATAGAATTTTAAAGGTGGTTTGACACTAGATTTACCCCCTTAGGCCATACTTCTGCTTCCAAAAACAAACCATTCACTGAAACAGGGTTTCCCCCATAAGGACACTTCTAATTTTATTTTGCAATTTACTACAAATGTTATAGAACATGGAGAATTTGTCACCTCTAGGTGACGAATTTGGCTGTATATATTATTTTAATGATTTTATAAGAATTATTATTTTAATATATTTTATTAGACTCGTCACATTAAAGGGACGTATCCTTTAAGAAAGTATTTTTTTAAATTTACTTTTAAAATTAATTAAATAATTAAAAAAACGCACGAACTCATCACCGTCTAAATTTTAAAAAACATAGTCATTTAGAGCCGTTAGACAACGGACAACTACAATGGTCACCATGGAACTCATCACCTTGAGGTAACGATTTCACTTTGATTAATTTTTTTAAATATATTAATTAAATAAATAATCTTAAAAATAACAATTTTTTAAAATACATAATAAACACACGAGGACCGATAAATAACGTTGATTCCATTGCTCAATGTAGATAATGTGCATCCTCAGCCAATTTTAGGTATGTTTCCCACGCGTATCAATTTTATGGAACACATCCCTATCACATATTTCCGTAGGAATTAGTTGATGAGACGCAAACTGTTGTAGCACTCTATATACAACGTGCATCTCAACAATCACAAAGTATAATAAAGGCGTTACAACACATCATAACTTTGAACCATAAAAAAATTTCGGTGGCAATAACCGATAGATCTCTTCGCCACAATACAGAAGCCAGGAAAATTATAATCATATTTTATAAAAGTGAGTATATATAATGTTAAACAATTTCAAAATAATAATAAAGTAACTAATATAACACAAGTGAATATTTACCGCATGTTGACTGACGATATCAATCCTCATTCTTATATCTTTTTTAATTGCACCCGATAAGTTTGTCTCGGTTATTTTATGTCGTCATCTAAAAATATAAAATAAAAATTAAAAACATATAAAAAATTAAAAATTTTAGTTAAAAAATTCTCTTGCAGCAAGAGGAAATTCAACTGGGACTGATGTAATTGGCGTAAAAAGAGAGAACTAGTATCATGCTCAAAACTGTAGCAATAGTGGACAACCCACTACATCAGTTTTTGACCCCTTGAGATGATTGTCACCTTGAAAAGGTCTCGGTGTAAAAAAAGTCAAAATCGTTGAGTCTCAACTAGTATTACGGCAATTAGTAAAATTATTCAAAATAGGAAGATACGACGTGTGTGCCAAATTACCGAATTTATCGGTAATAATACCCCTCCAATC